GTGACCGCGTCAACGGATGGCGGGATGAACGGAATACGAGAACGCACCGCCGTACCACCACGGACCACTTATTCCTGCATGGCTATATGTGTCGGCAATGGCCAACGTATAGAGCAACGGACACACCATATTTGTATGCCACTGCGCTGCTTTGAAGCTGGGGGAATCGTGTTCATTGAATCAGAAGGAAGGCCGGGTGTTGAACGCACGAGGGTAGCTGCCCATGTCCACGCGCTGACGATTCCCGCCGCGATGAGTCCGGGCTTTACGCTGCGCGACGCGCTGCTGAACTCTTCCGACGAGCGCGGCGAGAACGGCGTGTAACGCGCCTGAATGGCGGTGAGGCCGATCATGAACGCACTGAAGAACAGGCCGATGCCTGAGTTCGTGCCGAATCAGTGCACGAGCTCAATGAAGTCCAAGGATGGCGCACCGACAACTGGAAAACGGAATTCCACCGTCTCGTCAGTGGTGGAACGACGAGAAATAGGGAAGCAAGCAAAGGCTGACCGACACCATATCCTGCACCTTGAGGGAGTACGGTCGAGCTAGAGGACATGGAGAGTTAACAAGTTTTCCTGTGTGGATGTCGGGAACGCGGGGCTTCGAAAGGATTCGATTGGTGGGGTTGACTACTTATCGAACGAGATAAGGAAGAAGCCGCGCATTTGGCACGAATCGAGAATCGAAGCTTCCAAGCTGATGCGCGATAGCTAGTATGCTGTGAGCGCGCCACAAGCGGAGCCTGACGTGGGAGCAAGTGCGGGGTATAAATCGATAGGACGGTGGTAAAGCCGTTTAGTTTGGCAATCCGCAATTTCGGAGTGGACCTGTTTATTGTTGGCATCGAAAACTCGGTCACTCTACACTGCGGGAGCCGGTAGAGTTCGCATGTAAACCCTCGCAAGGATTGGACGCCGCAAGATCTGCTCCCGGGAGAATGGATTGACGCAAGACAGCAATGTTGGATGCGGCTCAGTTGAACCGTTCAAGTTTGAACAGTGTTCAGGACAAGTCTTGGGACAAGTCCAGTTTGTTGCTTGGAGCAGAGAATGCATCGGCGAGACCAGGAGGAGGAGGGTCGGTCGACTCCAAAAATGCCACCAAAGGTAGCCGTCAGACCGAATATGTAGCGCAGAAAGCCAGGAGTTGGCCAGGAGCGAGTAAACTCCGAGACATGGCGGTTTGTGACAAGGTGGCATCAACGGCAAATCCCGACCATCTGATTGTTCACGCAGCGTGGCTTGGACAAAGACCACCATGCCAGATTTACCGCAGGAGCTCATCGAGGCCATCGTCAAAGAGGTTCCACTAGGGAGCCTCGCAGCATGCTCCCTGACCGCCATCGCGTTCGTCACCCCCAGCCAGCGCCGTCTTTTTCGATGGATGTCCCTCCCCAATATCGCGGCATATCAGCGCGCGGAAAAACTCCTGGCCTCATCTCCACATCTCGGGCCATACTTCCGCTACTTGGCCCTGGGCATCACCGAAATTCCAGACGACTTCAGCTGTCTCAAGTCCATCTTGAGCGTATTATCGGAAATCGAGTTCCTCACCATCACAGGCAGCTATACGACGCCGCACCAGATGGGGAAGAATCCCTTCCTCATCGACTTCCTCTCCCACCCGACACTCAGATGTTTGGGATTGAGCCATCTTGGCGAAGTTCCGGCTTCCCTGGTCACCCGCGCCTTCTCGCTCTTCGACGAGGTGCAGTTGGGAGCTGTAACCATTGTCAACGACGAGGATCTGGCCTCCGACGGCCCTCTACCCCCTGCAGAGCTCTGGCACCTTGCTATGTCGGGGGACGGGGCTGAAGTCGCAGAGCAGACCATGCTCGCCTTCCTGCTTCAACCGAAGCGAATCCGATCCCTCGAACTACAACAGCTTTCCTTTGTGTTCCCTCCTGTTCCCGCCGACCGCGAGCACAGGTTCGAGGAGCTCCTCGTCGCGTGCTCAGACAGCCTCGATTCGCTGGAACTCGAATTGGGTACGTCCTTTCTCTCAAAGCCTCGCCCCATTCACACGCTGACTCCGTGTCAGAAACACCGCCGACGTACATACCCACCCTCCCTAACCTCACCTACCTGGAGCTCTGGCTCGACGTCGAACTCACGAAGACCCCGCCCGAGCTGCTTGCCATCATTGCAGCCGCTGTGGCATCCGCGCCGCACCTCGAGGTCCTGACCATCGCGTTCTTGGATCGTCCCGCCAACCCGCGTCGTCCGCATCGTCAGCTATGGACGGGCGCGCAGCCGGAGTGGGACCCCATAGACTCGGCGCTCATGGACATGAAAGATCTGTGTGAAGTCGTGTTTTCGCTGCGCTGGTTCCACCACGAACCGGAACGCTATGCGGCCTTTACGCCGTTCATTCAGGCTCATCTTCCGCGATCTTTCGAGGCGGGATTTGTCGACTTTTCCTACCGTGCCTGCCAGCAGCATCCGATGGACAAATTCGTATCGATTTATTGACTGTAGCTGCAATACACGTTTGTTCATACTTATGTTTCTCCACGAGCAATAAGCGTAGGGATACTCACCAGCAAATCTATCCATCGGCTTCTCAACCGCCTCGTGATACGAAGTTTAAATTCGACAGGTGGCTTGTGTACTTTCCACGCCAATTGGAATACTGCATATATGCAACTTAGACTGCAGGTTAGAAAGGCTCGGTGGTGGTTAATCCGCATAGGTTGGCTCTTGCGGACGGAACCAACTGTGGAAGAACACACCTGTTCGAAAGGCCCGAGTGCCTGAGGCTGCCATGGGGACTAAATCTTCTCTTTTTCCGAGCTTGCGCATTGGGAAGATGCAGCATCCATCCTCTCGAAGTTGCAGGATAAGGAAGACTCGGAAGTGAATGGTCCACACCTGCATTCTATTGATTGCAATATTGGTGCTTGAAGCAGGAGGTGCCTGTTTGAATCAGGCCTGGGTCTATGATTCGTAGCCAACTTCGTTTTTGTTTGTTGAGATGCCTGGAGAGCCATGCAATTGGCATTCCCTGTTCGAATCTGTTCGAATCAGTGCTGGCCATAGGCAATAAAAGCGGTCGTTTGTTTTTGGTTGATATACCGCAAGTCTTTCATCATTGCCGTGTGTCTTGAACCGAAATCGGAGGTACTGAAGGCTCGTTGAAGCATAGTTCCGGTCATCTGTGTTGCTCCAGCGAGAGAGTTCCTTAATCAATACCCAAGGCTGGTGTGGTATTTGAATGGAAGGGATGGCTTGCGACTCTTTAATGCAAGCCAAGATTACTTTCAATGCCAGCTAAACAGCCTGTATACTTATACGCAACTTGGGGAGCAGGTCAGAAAGACTCGGTGGTGGTAGCTCCACACTTCTTGGTTATCACGAACGAACAAACCAAGTGGGAGAACACCTGTTCGAATCGGGCCCGAGCTCATGGTTCGCGTGGCAAGTTTCCCTTTTTCCCTTTCGAGCTCGGGTACAAATACCGAGCGAGGTAATTCGTTGTAGACCAAGTTTCAACCGTGGGAAACCCACGGTACCGTTTTTGAACCCCTTTCGTCGTAAGAAAACCACAAGCATTCAGTCCATCTAAAATGCCACAAAGTGATATCTGTGACGTTTGGTGGTGCGCTTCTGACTCAAATCTAATGAACCACCAGTTTTGTTGGGGTCAAATTAGCAGGTTACTGTACTATTAAATTCAATTCGGCAGGGGGGGTGACGCGTGACCGAAAGTTTGAGTTCGGCAGTTCGTCAGGCGCCCCCGATCTCCGTGACAAGCGCAAAATTTTCGGCACCTGCAGGAAGTTGGTCTGGCAAATCATATAGGCCATCGGCGTGGAATGGCAGCTTCAGGAAGCAGGGGAGAAGCATTTTCAAAGCCAGATGCAACATCAAGAGTTATTCAGCCCGGATATTCACTTTGGTTTGCTTTTTGGGCTGATTTTGGTGCTTCTCGGACGCAGAACGCACTATTGGGGCATTTAAAGTGTTATGTACTTCCGCACAGGTAAAAAATGCACTAACAGTGGAGAAATTTTGATTTTTCAGTTTTCAACCCAAAATCTCAACCTACCGTGACTCCCCGCAGGTTCGTCAAGAGGCCCAGTGACGCGTGACGAGCGTTCGAATTTCGGCACGTCAGGACCCCCCGTGACGCGTGACTGCCGAATTGAATTTAATAGTACAGTACTGTACTATTACGACCAAGTATTCGGGGGGTGTGACCAGTGACCCAAAGTATTCGTTTTGCAAGTATTCAGATTGCCTTATAAGGCAATGATCCGGCGGAGCCGGAGCGAAAATTTGCCCATTTAGGACGCAAAAGCTCAAAAACATCGATTCAAAACTCCGGTGACCTGTGACCCATGAAGCATGTATTCATTTCAGCGAGGGCTGTGACCCGTGACTGAATACTTGGTCGTAATAGTACAGTACTTCACAACCAATTGACTGGGTGCAGGTCAGAAGCTCGGCGATCCATCCGCACATATTGGCTATCGCGGAAGAGCAAAGTGGGAGAATGAACACTGCCTGTTCGAATCAGGCTCGAGTTCATGCACGATTGCTTTCAGGATCTTTTTCTGTTGTGCGAACTTGCCTTTGGTACAGAAAAATGCAGCATCTGTCACCTTAATTTTGGGAGTAAGAGAGGCTTGGAAGTGGATGGTCCACACCTGCATTCTATTCGAAAGGCGCTGTGTTCTAAGCAAGAGTTGCCTGTTCGAATCAGGCCCGAGCCGTATCGCGAGTTCAGCATGGTTTTTATTTTCTTTTACACTTGGTGAACCACAGCAGTTAAAATCATGCAGCAGCATATATTCAACTAAGAACTTGGATTGCAGATCGTCAGTCAGGCTCGGTGGTGCTTAGTCTGTATAGGTCGGCTCTTGCGACCAAGTGGGAGGACATTGCCTGTTCGAATCAGGCCCGAGCTCATGGTTGCTCTATCTCTGGACGTTTTTCCTCCCTGAACTTGCCGTTGAAAAAGGCAGCATATATCACCTCAAAATTCTAGACAATGAAGGCTCGGAAGTGGATGGCCCACACCTGCATTCTATTAGAGTGAATACTGAGGTTAGAAGCAGGAGCTGCCTGTTCGAATCAGGCCCGAGCCATGGTCCTTCTGTACAAGCCTTTTTCTTGTCGAGAGGCCTGCATCTGCAGCATCCGTACTATTATCTTCATTACGAACCATCCCGCGGTGGTGCATGCTCCACTCGTGTCCCCGCCCAGTCGAAATTGCAACTGGGACTCTCTGTTCGAATCAGGCGCGGGCTGTAGCTAGATGAGCGGCCATTTTTTTGACTGTAAGACCTCTCCGTTGGTATGGGTTGAACGTTGAACCGAATCGAAGGTCCCAATGGCCCCTATCTCAGTCAAGACTGGCATACTTAGTTGTTACGGCGGGAGGCCTGTTCGATTCAGGTGGGAGCCGTTGTCGAATAAGAAGCAGTGAATTTTGTTCAATTATCTGTTTATTGCAGCCGCGAGCGCGACGCACTCTCGATATTGCAGCCGCATGAGCGCGTTATTGCATGTCATCATGTGATCGTGTTCCCAGGCATACTAAACTCAGTAACAGAGTCAAACTCAATCGGAACCCAACCGCGCAAGACCCACGTCCGTGGCAAGTTTATGGATATTCATTCATGCGTATTTATTCGTGAATTACTAGTACTGAAGTCCATTGCAGGTAGGTAAGTATGTACAAGTCCATCGAATTGTTTGTCCGTTCGTGCAACATAAACTAGAAGTGAGGTCACTCTCAACCACAGTTGAAATAGTTTCCAGCGATAACTGCGGGGCAGCCCTGCGTATCTGGTGCGACGACAACGTTAGCATTATCAGCTAATTAAATAGATGGAGAGCCTGCTTACCCTTATTCGTAGGGCAATCCGCGGGGTCGTCGCAGCACTTGATGCACGCGCGCGGGCCGGCGGGCTCGACGAGCTCGACGTAGTGGTTGTACCTACCACGTTGGATGAATTCGATTAAGTAGTGGATAAGAGAGCGGAAATGATTGTTGAACGCACCCAAGACAGACGGACCCCTGCGGGTTGCCCTGGCCGCCGTCGCCGCCGCTGGAATCGTACTGCCCACCGCCGTCGTCGGGGTTCAGGCGGCTGAGGAGCGCGGGTTGGATGCAGCCTGTCACTGTGATGCAAAGAACCGGACCATGTTAGCCTTTCTCAAAAATATAAAGATGGGTGAGAAAGGGAGAAACAACGTACGCTGCGCATACCTCCCGCCGTTCTTGCCCGTCCCGCTCTTGAACGCGACGTTGCTCCAGAAGGCAGCGGGCAGCTGGCCCTGCGCGGGGTCGTACCGCCCCGCGGGGGAGCAGTAGGTCTTCATCCCGCCGGGGTGCTCAGAGTCGCCGATATTCGTGTGGGGGTCCCTGGGCATGATCATACTGCACACAGACTCGAGTCTCAGCGCCGCACTTGGAAGGTTGAGGAGGGGGGGGAACGCACCAGAATTTATTTGAGTCGGTGACATAGACGATATTGTCCACCGCGGCGCGGGTGACGAGCGCGTCGGGGCCCGCGGGGGATGACAGGACTGCGGCCGCCTGGAGGAGGAGGGGGAGGAGAGTCGTGGTGCGCATCGTTAGTTGGTAAATCGTTAATGGGAAGGGGGTGAGGGTGGATGGAACGAAGCTCGGATCTTGAGTAGGTTTGAGACTTGCATTTTATATCGTATCGCTCCGGGCTGAAATGCCCGCTCCCGCACCGCTTAGAGCAGTGGAGCTATCCGCGCCAGCCGGTGTCGCAAGTTCTAGCCGCTTGCTGGCCACCCTTGGGCCGCCCTCCATCTTGATTGTGGGTGAGACCAGAATCGCCCAGAATGAGTATCGACTGGAACACCAACCAAGTGCTTGGGCTCCGGAAGAACAGTAAGACTCTAAGAGAAAAAAGGGCGAGTAGAGGTTGAACTTGAGGTTGAACTGGCGGTCGATAAAAATCTGCAGCGGCAAGCATAGGCCGGTCCCCCCTGAGTGGCGCCCTGGACGCTTGAAACAACCTTGGCACACACCTGGTGACCCAGGCGAAGGCTGGATGAGGCCGCAGAAAATGAAACAGCTACTTCAGCGGAGGTTCGTCGCCGCCAGTCGTCTTTTGAACCCCGCCCACTATTATTGAGATGACGATGCAGCGATCGGCAGCCACGTTTGAAAAAAAAATGGTCCAGCAGATCCAGTTCAACTGCTACCTACACCAACGAGGGACCACCTGGGAGATGAGCGTGGCTGGATCTGCCTGGATTACCCGGAGCCTGACAGCCTCCAGACTTGGGTTAGCGCTCGTGGATGATGGCGGTCGAGAGCAAGTGATAGCGCATCACGCCGCTCTTTCCTCAAACCGTCATCCTCTCTTCCTCCCGACCATACCCCAAAAGAATGCTGGACGGTATCGTGCCTTGAAAAGCCTGCCATTTCTCAAGCATGGCCATCTTCTTAGTAGTGCCAGGAGCTGAAGGAACTCTTGAAGCTTACCGTGACCCCGCGTCTCAAGAACGTCTACAAACACGCCCTCTCGGTGCGTACACTCCGTCGGCTCAGGACGTCCTCCTCCGTTCTCGGGAGTCGTCTATCTCCCTCGTCCAATGGATCTACTTGCTCTCCTGTCGTCCATCGTATCAACATGAACGCAAAGCTCCTCAACGATGCGATCCCTCCAGCAAGCAAGACCGTTAGGCGGTGGATTTGCCTCGACTCGCATCCTTGCTCCGCTCCGAGGCCATAGGGCGATTGCCCTCCCGCGAACCCAAGTAAACCCCGCGTCTGACGTAAAGGACGCAGACCCCGAGTAAGTATAAAATCTAATCCCAGCCCGCAAGGACCGCTCCCCAACCATGAAGCGCCTCCCGTCCGAGCTCGAAGACGCCGTTATCGACTTCTGCCACGACGACCACGGCACACTCGCCTCTTGCGGCCTCGTCTGCCGCGCCTGGCTCCCCGCCTCGCGCTACCACCTGTTCTGCACAATTTCCCTGACAATGCAGAACGCCGCGGCCTTCATGGACCTGATATCGCGCTCTGCGACGATAGCGCCCCTCGTGCGCGACGTCGAGCTCCGCTTCTTCGGCTCCTCCCTCCTCCACCTCGAGATCGCGCCCCTCCTCATGCGCCTCCCCCACACGACGCGCCTAACCCTGCGCCCCAAACGCGACGAGGTCGTCCGCCCCCCGTGCACCTCCTCCCTCGCACGCGCCCTCCCCGCCCTCCCCGCGCTCGTCCACCTCAAATTCGACTTCCGCGCGCGCTTCGAGTCCCTGGAGCAGATCATCACCTGCGTCTGTCTCTGCCCCCACCTCGAGTCGCTCGAGATCGGCGGGAGCTGGCAGCGGACGGGCAAGTTCCTCGCGGGGCCGCCGTGCCTGCCCCCGAGGCTGCACACGCTCACCCTTACGTGCGACTTGGCCAATTTTTTGGCGTGGTTTATGGAGTTGGAGCAGGAGCAGCCCGTGATTCAGCATCTGCATCTATACCACATCGTGCAGCGCGAGGTCGAGACGGTCGCCAAGTACCTGAGGGTATCAGGGCCGTCTCTGCAATCTCTCACCCTTGCGTTCAGGGATATGCATGCTTCTGGTCGGTCCACCTTCCTTCCCTCTCCAGTCACATTCTTTTTAACATTGACTAACAACCTTCAATCCAGATCAACTCACACCCCAAACCGACCTCTCCCTCAACACCTCCCTCCGCACCCTCGCCCTCGAAGGCGCCTCCCCCGGCATCACCTCCGCCCTCATCGCCCTTCTCTCGCAGCTCACCTCCACCCCATCCTCGTCCTCCCCACTCTCAATCGAGCTGACGATCCGACATCCAAACAACCTCCTCGCCGTCCGCCTCCCGGACACCAACCACTGGTCCGCGCTCGACGAAGCGCTGACGGCCGTGTCATCAAGCTCGCGCCGGCGGCTGACTCTGGGTGTCAAGGTGGTGGAGCCGCTGACGCGCGCGCCGCTGCCCGGCGCTGTGGCGGACGTCCTGGCGCAGCTGCCTTTCGCAAAGGCGCGTGGAATACTCCGTGGCGTCGGACCTTCCCCTCCTCCCCTATAGGCCCGCCCGCGTTCGGGTTCGTCGTTACTTGTTCCGAGTTAGATTGGAATTTAGGAAACACTATACATACTATTTCCATTTAGATGGCACTACTAATGTACAACAACATAGAACTCCCTACAAAACCGTATGTAGGTGGCGACGGTACTTAACTTACAATGACGAAAATTTCGGAGCCCAATACTTTAAGTACTGGTAGCGTTCCGTTCTCTAGACTTCCTTCCTCTTTCTTTTCCACACATAAAAAACGCAAAACCCGCAGGACGGACGCTTAACCTCGCCCCGCCCCGTCCGAAACCCATACCCTATCCTAAATCATCCCCTCCCTAATAAATCTCCAACAACTCCCCCGCGAACTGCTCCATCCCCACAACGCTAAACCTCCCCGTCGCCTCCCCACCCACAGGGCGCGCCCACTCCCCAAACTCGCGCATCCACGCGCGGCTGAGCCCCTCCTCCCACGCATACAGCTCGACGCGCCACCCCTTCTTCAGCGCGGTGCGCACGGGCCCGAGGAAGCCGTCCTCGTTGAACTGCCCCACGTTGCCGTCGCCGGTCGCGAGCACGATGGTCGCGCCGGGCGGCGGGGGGCCGTCGAGGGCCGCGAGCGCCTGGTGCAGCTTGAGCTGGAGGAGCTCGTCGACGCCTTGCTCGCGGTAGCGGACCTTCGTCGTCGGCGGCGTCATCGTCGTCGTCGGGGATCCGGAGAACATGTTGTTGTTCCCATTCCCAACGCCGCCGGTGCTGTTGCCGTTGCCGTTGCCGTTCATAGGCAACGAGGACGAAATCGGCGAGGACCCATACGCAGGCGGCGAGCCGTCGGTATTGTTGTTATTGTTATTGTTATTGAGGTTGTGATGATTCTTCTTGCTGGCGATGTTAATCGCGCTCGACCCGCCCCCTCCAGGCGTCCCGCTCGCCCCGAGACTGCGTATAAACGCCTGCGGGAATCCGCCCACCCCCGCTCCCACCACCCCCTGCTCGCTCTCCGCCGAGGTGCTCCCCGTGCTGCCCGAGATGCGACGCACATGCCCCTGCCCCTTCCGTCCC